GGCTGATCCCACGATAGATGGCGCGAATGGCTGGGTCACCTTTCTTGTGGATTGGGCGGAGCACACTTAAATTCCAGTCGTCGGGCATGCGTTCATCTGACCATATTCTGCATAAGAGTTGATGCATGTACCTACCAACTCCTCGCCACCGTACTTGAATAGCTCAGCTGGCAGCCGTCAGCTCCAGCACCTTTGTTGTTTTTGAGGCGCGCTTTTGCAATGCGTACCTCTTCATAGTCCGGTGGTGGAACAGCGACTCTGTCATCATCGACTGAGGGCTCGGGTTCATCTTCTCCATAGCTTTCAGTGCTGTTATTATTAGGTAGGGTTTAAAAGTTTTCTTTGCATAATTTAAGTACGTTCTGGTTGCGGTTACCAAGTTACGAACAATTACAAATCTCAAACTACGAAAACGGCGTTTTTATACCTTAAGTCCAGAATTTTGAGGGTGTATTCAAAATTCTAAGTATGCATATATTTTGTGCATCATCAATCTGTCACTTTATCAGTCACATAGTGTTATTATCCCGACGAAATCTTTGACGGTGGTACTGGGAGGGGAACGGTACATAACGGTAGGAGGTTTAGTTTGAGTTAAAGTCTCACACTGACGGGGTTAGACCTTCGTTATTGTTTTTGAAAAAAAATAACAATTTTGTATAGGGCCCCCCTAAATTTCGTTCTGGCTACGCCCATGTTGATAAGTGCTACCTTCCTTAAACATGCCTCATACTGATATGTATATACTCTGTGTGGCCTCTTTTTGGATGTCAGTTTCTATAGCTTGTGTTTATTTGAGGCTGTTTCGTGGCGTAAGTAGTAGGAATTCAACTTGTATATATTAAGGAATTTTTCCTTTCTTCCTTTTTTCCTATTCTTAGTAAGAAGATTTCAAACATTGCGATAGAAATCGTTAAAGAATACATATTTATAAAATACAAAAATCGCAAAACTTATAGAAAATAGTATAGATCCGAAAATTGTCGCCAACTGGCTACATAAAGTAGCATAAGTGATTTTATAAGGGTTGACTTTGAATTAAAAAATATTAAGTTCCCTTGAAAATTTTTATATAATTATGACTTTTCTATTAAAAGGACATCTGGAGCTACACCCACAGGGTTAGAACTACGGAAAGCCTAAATCGGTGTAAATGAAGTGAAAAAGCGTAGCAGAAAATAAAATTCCGTAGTAGATATTTTAAATGTATATTGGCTCTTAATAATTTGCTTTTTTTAGTTAAAACAATAAAATTATGCATAACAATAGCCTTTAATCGCGTCCTGCAACCATACTATTTAGCGTCTATAAAATAATATCAACGTAAAAATGTTCCATATTTGTCTTTTATTGGTGGTTTGGTTAGTTAAATTTTTTTTTGGAAACAAGACTCCTGAAGGGTTCTAAAAAGTTATTCGTCGGATAAATTCAGGTAGTCCTTGAACAAATGAAGTATACTGAAGATATACTTTCTAAGTCAATAAAAATCAAAAACTTAGTAGGCCAATATCTCAAAAAAAAAACACGTGATAGAATAACACTTAAAATGCATTCTGTCTACATTTGAATACTATTTCATGGCCTTACAAAGCACCTTTTTAGAAAATTTTAAAAGTTAAAAAGTTACATAACTACGTACAGTGTAATTGGAAGCCAATCACTCTTTGGCCTCTTCTATTTAAAAAAAAAGTGTAGAATTTATTAGCGAAAAATGTGTTTGAAGGCCATATAAATTTTAAAAGCTACTAGAAAAAACGGCACTTAGACAATCTTTTGAGTTCAGATACCGCAATAAGTGCTCTTATTTGGGAAAGAAAACCGCAGTAGATCGTGGATAATGCAGAGTAGCACAGTAGATTTCTAATTTTTGTCAAAAATCGTAGCAAATCTACTACGATCGTAGTTAAGTTCCAATGCTGTACACCTATGTATTTTTGGCTAGTCAATCGTTAAACTATTATTTTGGAACCCGATGGAATATCGCTTCAAGAGGAAAATGGCCCATCTCAACCTATTAAGGTTACTTTAATTGATGGGCACAGAGATGTATGTTTATAGTTACTCATAAACTATAAATTTTAGACAAGTTAGGAATTACGAAATTACGAAAACAATTAAAAGCAAATTAGAAAATTATTTCAATTCGAATGGAGCGAAAAAGCGAAGTGCGATTATTATTATTATTTATTTTTTTAATGACCAAATATTTAATTACTAAACCAAAGGATTAGATAAATCAATCCATATTTGAATTTATTACAGCATACTTTTTCTTTTCCACGGACGACTGTCATTTCGTTTACCTTAAAAAAGTAAGTAACTAACTCTTAAATCGCTGCCATATATTTACGTACATACATACATATCTACTCAGCAATGTACCAATGAAGTGCATGCATTAAAACAAAGTTATATATGATATATATATATATATATATATATATAAGATACATATGAATTAGTAATAATCACATTAATCAACCCCAAATAACTTTAATTCCAATTGAAAAGCAATTATTTTGCAGTTTTACTAAAAAGGCTGTGAAAAAAGATGTAATGCCAAAAATCCATGGCAATAATTCGAGATTGTGAAAATCACCTGGATTGGCTCGATTTGAGATAAGCACATTTAATTACCAACCATTTTGATCAGAGATCAATGATTGCAATCTTGGAAAAGCAGCACAATTACAAGCTGAAACGTTGAAAAATTTCCGTACAAGCAAGAGCGATTTGGCGCACAACATCAGGCAGCGCGAATAAATATTGTGGCTCCACAATCGCTATCGTTACTCGAGATATGCTCACGTATTTCAAGAGTTATGTGGGCATGCATGTATGTACGTACATACAAATGTCTATGCATTAAAAGAATTAAACATTTTTAAAGAAAATTATTACAGCAAAATTTTACGATCGCTTTTGTTACGGTGTCTAATGAACACGAATTTTTACACGTAGCCAAATACATTTAAGACCGTTTTTGGTTGCAACATACAGCATTGCATTTTGTGAGCATGCAACACAAACTTTGGCTACTACACTTGATGACAAAAGAAACTAGAAAACAAAAATTGCATGCAGCAGATAAAACTTTGAAGTGTGTTGTCTCAAAATTTCATAAAAATCAGCGCAACGAAAGCAAAAGTGGTAACGATTTTTATGCTTTTTGTTTTGTATGTTCGGTCAACTGCATGCTTGAGCGCTATGCAACTTGGTGGCATGCGGCATGTCACATAGTGAACCCAAAGCGTGAGTGCAGTTGAGTTGTAGAAAATAGCCAGAAAAAGTGTAAAAAAGTGAAAACTCGCCACTTTCGATTGATGGTTGTGGTGAAGTAAAAGAAAAATAAATGTCTGTTGCTTCGGAAAAAGAACGTAAAAGTCAACAACAGTTTTTGTTAGCCTCACGGCATTTTCGCGATTTTATGTCCAAACAAGGTGGCTATGGCTTGCTGACTAAATGATTGGTTTTGCATGACGCGCATACAAAGTTTGGACAGTGCGTGTGGGAAGTTTTCACCCGAGGCGAATTAGTTTGCAAAAAAAAAAAATTAAAAATCATGGAAAGAAAATAGAGAGGGAGTGAGTGCAGGTAAAATTTAATAAGTGGCACTCGAGAATGGTTTGATTGATGTTCAAAAATACCAAAGCATTGGAAGAATTTAAAAGAAATTTCGGCAACATATTCCTTAGATACAGTGCTGCTCCGGTATAAGCATTTACAATATAACGAATGCTCGGTATAACGAACACTTTTTTCAATGCATTGTTGACTCTATGTAGCGAATGTTGGAAGTTTGAAGATCTCGTATTACGAATGCTTTGAATTTTGTTTTACAACAAAAAAATCAACTGCACGTGCAGTTCAAAACTCTGTTAGTTCGTGATATTTGTGTACTAAAATTTTCGCAAAACTCCATATATTTTGTGCACGTCTGCATTGCCCGTAATGTCAGTTCATTTAAAAATTCCTTAATCTCGCAGTTACAAATAAAGGAAGTTGATACCATCGAATACTTTGAGAAGTGCATCAAACGGTCTGAAGAAAATAATGTGGAGCAGGCCAAAATGTTTTTATTGAGAAGCCTTCATCAAAAAGCACTTGATTTCTAAATTTCTCGTCCTCAAAAGCAATCGAACATATTAGACTTCTTTTCCACCAAATAAAACCACCGCAAAGCCTGAAAATTTTGGTGTGGAGCTCTATCTGTATTTCTTTGACTATGTTTTTATCTTTAAATTATTATATTTGATAAATTAATCAATAAATCTTGTTACTAAGCGTATATAAATACACATGTATGTATATATTATGTTTCAGTTTAAGGAACGGTCCTGACATTATATCATTCGTTATACTGGAGCACTAGGGTATATGATCTAGTCATACATATGTATGTACCAAGGAGAATCTATACAAGGTGGTGTTACTGGCGAATTTAGATTACAACAACAACAACCACATGTATTTTGTACTGCGGGTATTATGTCAAATCTCAATTCGCTCTAAAGTTTACACGTATTTTGTTTTTGCTTTTGATGGGTGTGCTGTCAAATCAGTAAATGCAAAAACAAAATACATGTAAGGCGAAGAAATCAGCTGATCATACAACACCACCTTGTATAAATTCGCATTGTACTTACTAAGATTTTAATATTCAATGAAAGAAGGTAAATGCTGCATCACCTTGAAAACAAATTATTTTCCAAATATTTGCCGATAATTCGCAGTGCATAGTGATATCCGAGACTTTTTTGGAAAGTTGAAGCTAATTTTTCTCTGAACGTTCGTAATAAAATATAATTTTTTGGGGATTATTTTATTCAAAACAAAAAAATCCAGCGATTTTTGCCTACTTAGAGTATTTGCAAAGGCACAAATCGCAGTCAAAACTGTAACTGGCTAAAGATAGTTAATGTTTAAGGATGATAAATTTCGTTTCCAATCGAATAAAATTTTCTTCTTATCTTCATCAACTTTCTCCTCGCTCCACTCACCTGATCTGGTCGCAAGCCTGGCGGCACCCAAGTGTACTCCTCCAGCGCACAGCCGCTATCATCGTCCGACTGTGAATTTCGCTGGAATTCCAATTGTTGCTGATGATGCTGGTGCTGATGGTAGGCAGCCGTCTTGTAGTTGGCCGCACGCAGCGGTGATGAAATCGAACTGAGTGGCAGTGTTGGTGGCGGCGGCTGGCAGCGTCGCTGCAGCGGTGCTACAAAATGTTGCGGGGTCGTGCTGTTGCTACTGCCGCCACCGTTGCTGGTGCTACTCGATGATGCTTCCAAGTTGCTGGCCGTGGTCGGTGTAGGTGTGGCGGCTGTGGAAGAATTGGGCGTGGCACTATCCAAATTATTAAGTGTCGTTATTGTTGGCAGTGTTTGTTGTTGTGATTGTGATGGTTGCTGTGACTGTGATAGTGGTTGTTGTGCTGCTGAATAATCTGTTGTTTGGGTTTGCAATATCGCAGCTTCTGGTTGCAATTGTTCATATTCGGGTAAATTTCCACCAGTCGTTTCCAGTTGCAGCAATTCACTTTCGGTTTGTGTGTAATAGTTGGTCGGTTGTTGCATGGTGACTTCAAGCAACAATTGTTGATGGGTTAATGAGGTGTAGGACGATTGCAGCCGAGGTGGAGGTTCACGCGCACAGGCGGGTGTACTGCAATGAAAGTGAGAGGAAAGTATTTTAGTTGGATTATTACGAAAGTTATAAACGGAATGACAAATATCGATAAAGCTTGGTAGAAGATATAGCAAATTATTTAGGTTAGGATAGTTTTTGCAGAATATGTGTTTAGATGTACATATGAGGGTCAGATTATAAAGCATCTCATGAGTGCCAGATTTTGACTTGAATACTTTTTTATCAGCAGTGATTAGTGGGCATAAAAAGTGTTTTGGCATTCGTAGGTATAAATTATTGACAAGTCTGTATGTACGATTCCAATAAGAGAAGCCAAGAAGTCGACAACGTCTTTGCCAACGATATCCTCTGCTTGAAATTTTGAAAGATTAGATTGGAAGTGTACTGGAGAGTCTCAGGGTGAAAATACATCCGCGAATAGGTTGGTACAGATACTGCTCTCGATTCATTCAATTCCTAGGGGAATGTGCATTGAAAATGGCTGTTATTTTTTGAAAATTTTACGGATTTTTTGGCGATTAGTAAAAATTACTGGTTCTATTCTGAAGAAGAAAATGCCAGACAAACCTGGTATTTTAAAATATAAAGCATAAAAAAAACAAATAAAAGATTCAAGTTCGGGCGAAACCGGCGCATGTATTAAATGTCTTTTTTCACCTTTCAGTAAACTACATTATGAGTAGACTGCGGATTTTTATGCAAATACGGAGCCTAGAAATATGTACCACATAACTATAAGCAAAGTATCTAAATTTGTATACAATTTCCTAGTGTTAAGTGGTACATATTTATAGGCTTTATTTTCTGCATAAAAATCCGCAGTCTAATTATGAGCAAAGGCCTTTTCCCCTATTTCAAATATTTCCGATAATAAGTATGCTCTACTAGAATTGATGAAATAATTGAACCGAGGAGGAAATAAATTAAGCGGTTACCGAGATAATCGTTTCTATGTCACTAGGGGGCGGTGCCACAGTAATGACTGTACCGAGTTTGCTAGATACAGGTGAATTGGTCACCGCGATACACATACAGTGAAAATCGTACTGTAATTTTTGCCTTTTTTTAATTTCGTTTATTTTTATAGTTTATACTACAATAAAATCCATATACATAACTCATGGTTGCAAATTAAAAAAAGGTCCGTAAAATTTTCATTAAAATTTCAAACATTTTGGAAAAGGACGGTAAGCATTTTTATAGTCCATTTAATTTTAGAATAATAAAGTGCAATTTTGAGGTGCCTAGAAAATACTTTTGATTTTCGGCAATTTTTTTGTACCTTACGACTGTTTCTTTGATACAATTTTATGCCAAATCTTAATGAAAGCATAACAAATTTGCTGCAAATAGTTCAACAGGTAACCCGTTTACGCTGCAGCCAACTGCATTTTATAAAATCGCATACCACGGATACTTTCTACTTTTAATAATAGCAAAATTAGAATTCTCCACATTTGAAAGCGAAGCAACGTAAAGCATTACACAAATTTGTTTGTTCTTCGCTTAGTTTCTTTTTTGCGTATAAAATTTCCTTTTTTGGCACAGGCAGCAGCTATGTTGCAGCAACCAGAAATTTCGACTGCATATATTTTACATGTTGATGCTCACATGTTGCACGCTACATATGTGCACATAATGTGGCAACAACACAGGTACACCAACAACGAGCACAATATTCGCAATTGTCGACTCAGCTGAACGCGGACATTTTTACGAGACAAATGAAAAATTCTGTTTGCTAACTTATTTGATAGCATTTTGATTATGAGTCTGTACAAATGAACATAAAAGCGTGCAAGTACAGTTTACAAGTTGGTACATAAATGGATGGTGTGGCGCATGCGCGACCAGCTCTAACTACATAAATGCAGCTGCGCGCAACAAACTAACATCTTGAGATTGGGTTGCGCTTGCGTGTTTTTGGTTAATTTGTATTTGGTCAGTGACGCGCCGCGAAACATGAACATTTGGGCGCTGTGAAGCGAGTGGTTGGATGGTCAGTGGATGTAGCCAGCAACAAACAGCAGCAACAAGAATTGGCTAACCTGCTGTTGCTACTACGCTTGTTAGTGTTGCTACTGCTCTCGCCTTTTGTTTTTATTGTTGTTTTTTTTTTTTTTTTTTGGCCAGCAATCTCATTGCGCATATATGGTGATGTCCGCACCCGTTTTATCAACTTTCTCTCTATGGCATGTTGTTGATTCTTCTTTCTAACGCCTCTTTGCGCTTATTTATGGGTAATTTTTCTTTTTCCATTATTTTTTTTGTTTGATTTGCAATTCTCTCACTATGCTCATTAGAAATAAATTTGTAATTATTCAGCAGAGCATTACTTTGAAATTTTATGATTATGCACTTATGCTTCGCTAACTTTGCCAGATAGCCCCTTGAATTTGCTGTCTACCGGTGCTGATGAATGGGCGTTAGAGGAGCCATTCATACAAATCTATGTAGGTACATACATACATACATATGTATATTAAAAACTTAAGTGCTGCAAATATTGGAGAAAACCAGCAAAAAACGTAAAATCAAGCAATTAAAAATTTTCTACATTTCGCATTTCGCCTTTTTAGGCCATTAAATGTAAGCGCCAAGGCGGCCTTCCTTTCACTTTTTGTAACCAACCTATTTTGAAATTTAAGTTAGCGTGGTATGCATACGTACATTGGTGTATGTGTGTAGGTGTGTAATTTTGTGTTCAGTTAATAGCAGCATAAAATTAATCATTTTAATCGCTGTCAATATTTGAATATCTTAATGATATTTGCCTCTTATAAAATCTGTGTGCTTAATGTTTTAATAAATCGCTTGGTGTGTACTAATTGGTAGCCAATAAAAAGTGCTAAAACGTCTAACATTTTTCAATATTCGTTAAAACAACGGTAAGTAACATTTTAATATTTATTACCCAGAAAATATTTATTTTGAAATTTTTTCTTCATATCCATTACTAATTTTTTTGGCAAAAAAACATGATGGATCCTTCCACTTAAAGTAGGTACCTTATTATTTAAACGCTAGATTTTCTCGAAAAGTACAGTGCTTACATCACCGTAGTACAGGACTTGCGATGGACTGAGCATGGCTGTAAGGAGCATGTAAGATAGGACTTTTTTGCAGCTGTCATGAGACGACGAAAAAGTCTCGTGTGAGATAGGTATTTGAGCGGACAATGTGACAACTTGTATTGACGTTCAACCCCATCGGCGAACGAACTACACTGAGGGAAGTAATGCATAGTAAAAATTAATACTTTATATTTGATTATCGTTTAAAAATGGTCGTATTTAAAATCGATATATTCATACCAAAATTTAGCACGCACATATTTAAATATCCACATCTGAGTATGTATATGTAAGTATACATACCCAATACGGAAAGAAACTAGTTTAAATATCGACGTTCAACCAGTTTTTTTACCCACCACAACTTGTTGAAGATCTGACTTTCGTCCTTGGAACGTCCTAGACTTCAGTCAATTATTCGACTCTGCATTTGATTTCAACTAATTTAAAATACATTTGGATTAAAGCACTTCAAAGTCATTATGTTTCGTTTGAAAACGCTTTCGTTTTGCACCTCACAGACGCTTTGTTGATTTCCAGAGGTAAGGATTCGAATTCCATTGCACGGAATATAACAAGCAAATTAAATATTTTTTTTGGTTTTTATCTTGATTATTGACTTCACGTATGCTTTTTCAAAACGAACGCTCCATGTTAATATACGCGTAGTTGAATTGAATATTTGCCGCTATACAGTAATTACATTGACGTTTGCAGTAAGATCAACCACATTTCTGTTTGATCTTACTATTTTTTCCCCCCTCAGTGTACCACAACCCGCATAAAAGCTACATTTAGGCATTCATATTAGTCAACGTCCCGAAAGAGAAGGAAAATTAAATCAAAGAATAATTCCGAACGCCTGGAAAAAGAATATGAGCGCTACTCGGAGAGCAAAGAATGCACATTTGGCGCAGCAGTCAGAAAATTCGCCCTTCGTGACAATAGCCCCCACAACGGAGAGAAGCTGACCGACTTCGCCACGGCATGGGACATGGTAGTTAATAGCATCCGCATTCATAAAGGCAGTTTTGTGCCCACAGATGGAAGAACGGAAAACTTTGTGACAGATGGGAGATACGCACCAAGCGTTTCTGCCGTGAGTTCCATCCGAGGAGCCAACGCCGGCTCACTCACACAACCTTGTTCCAGCTAAGGTCAGCATGCTTTGAGATGCAGAACATGAGCCAGCTGGCGCCTTTCTATCCTGCCTATAAGCAACTCCTAATAAACTAGGAGCGGGACTCTATGTTTCAATTACTTTACAAGGAAGCCAAAAAGGACCCAAGAAAGACCCAAGCTAGGTGCACCAAAGGCGAAGCTGGGAATCTTATGAATTTGGGATGACCCCACAAAAATATAACGCATGAATATGTTGTGCGCATGGATGAGCACGCTAGGGCGATAGGAGTAACATAACGTAAAATATTTGTTAGCCTCGCCGAAATCTAGATAAGTATCTATAATATTTTCAAAAATTTTTGCTTGGTATATGCTCATACTACTACATACACGCACACACTCGAAAAGGTGCAATAATTTCCTAAAACTATGTATGCAAATTAGCCAAACATAGATTTGCCATTTACACACTGACCAATCAGCCACTTTACGCATGCGTATCTTTTTTCAATTTTACTTTCCGCACACTTACACTTGTCGAATTTGCATAAATATATTACTTTTGCTGTCAATGGTTTCATTCATATTAACTTCTCCATATTTTCATGCCAATCATTTTTCTCTGGTATTCACTCACCGATCATTGAATTTACGATTTTAATAGCTTACCTTTCGCTTTCGAAAATTTGTTGAATTTATTGTATGATGAAAAGTGGCAAAAGTTTGCACAGCTGAGGCATAAAACGTTAAAGTTTATCAGTTTGGGATATTAAGTATATACTCGAAAATATTTTACACACTTACTTTTAGAATTTGGTG